AAAATTGGTACTACAATTGTATATTTTTGTGTTATTGTAGTTCAAGGTTTTAAAAATAATGATGAGTTTCTAAAGTTTTACAAATTTATTTGCTTTATTACTGGATGCAATTTTATATATTGAATAATATTTTGGAGATTTTTTGAATTGAATGAATAAGTCCATTGATTAGAAAATAAATTCATTTTTAATATTTAAAATTAAGTCCAAATTCAAGCTAATTTTCCACGATCATGAAAAGTTGAGTAAATTCATTACATCTTCAGTATTTCGATGACTGTCTTACGCTCTAAAACAATTCATATTGGAACAATTCATCTTATTTAAGGTATAGGTTCTTCGAAATTTTACTAAATTATTTTAAAATATTCAGAGTCACGTATGGTTTGGCGTATTGCTATGGATGGTTATTAGTTTTGGGAAGTGCTATTGATTTATAATCCTACAAAGCATAAGAGTTTCGACAAATTGAACAGACTGAATTGCTGGAATAATTGCATACTTCTGCAAATCATTTAATTTAATTTAAAGTTTTCCATCAGTTTCTTTTAAAATTTCTTTTCATTTTTTCCATATTTCCAAATGACTCATTTCTTAACCTTAATAGGTTAGGAAATATAGGTTAAGAAATTTATATTATAATATTTAAGGTTTTACTAATTTTCTGCAAGTTGCTAAATTGTTTTTATAATATCACAATGCACAGTGCACAGTGTAATAGAAAATATAAATGAAAATGAATTTTGGAATTTCTATTAAAACTTTTTGAATTCCTCTCAGAAGAGTTTTAATTGTATTAAAAGAGAAATGAAATTACTCCATTGTTGGCTAATGAATTTCTGTATGGAAAATGTAATTTACCCGAAGATTGTAAGGAGTTTATATTGCATGGAGCGTAGACATTTAAAAGATTAACAATATTCCACTTAAAAGTTTTGTAACTTTTTTTTTAAATTGAAATTTCGAAAATACTTTTGCGGTTTTAATATTATTTTGTAAATTAAGTTTTTAATGAATTTTATAAGTGAAATGAACGTCTAAACTGCGATACAAAAAATTGTTAAATTTATTTTTGAAAGCAAAATACAAGTCATAAAATTCATCGTTCAATTAATTTGGAGAAAATAAATTATGACAAAATATTTTTCAATAAAGTTTTAAAAGTTCAAAAATATCCAAAGTTTATAATTTACTCTTCATTATAAGTTTCTTGTCTGAATTTCAATTAATAAAGGTCAACAAGATTTAGATTAAAGGTCACAGAATTAAGGATTTTCAATTAATACATTTTTGAAAATTATTAATTATAAAAAATAATTTATATTAATTAAAATATGTAATTATTAATTTTTTAAATATGAATTTGAATTGAATTCATTGTGGAACTGCACACATTTCTGGGTAAAATGAAAATTAACTGCTGATTTATCACTTAGAATGCAAGATATATTTATTCAATTTTATAACATCCAAATCAGTAAAGGTAGCCCATTTAAATCCTATTTAAACTATGAATCCTTTCCATTAACTATCGCAATAAATTCCGTATTGAACATTTAAAATAGGTATTGTATATTCTTATATGTATGATCCTTACTTTATTAAATATAAAACGAAACTATTGTTTCTCCCGCAATATCTACTGTCTCTTCATCCAAAATCTTGTTTACAAAGTAATTTTGAGTACTGATTTCAATTCAAAACTTTGTTTTTGAATATCTATTACTTGAAAACTGTTAGTCTGACATCAATCATCGGCATACTATTTTGTTGGTACATCAATTGGCAAAAAAGTTTCTCAACACAACTTTTCTCTAACTTCGACAGCTTCGAAGTTGTAGTGGATATTCGTTGAACATGACTTTTTCAATTCAATTTTATTTTTTTAACCCTTCAAAACTAGTCCTGAAACTCCAACAACTCACCTCTCAAAAGCTTTCACACTTGGACCGGACCATCCTTTATAATCCGTTCAGTTTATCTATTATATTCGGTTTTCTTGTATTTTGAAAATTTTCTTGAAAATTTCTTAAATTCATAAATAAAAAACTTGAATTGTCACGAAAATTTGCTTTTGTCCTGTTTTTGGAGACAGTTTTCTGTGGACTCATGCTGGTTTGCTAGCATTTCGCGTTAAATGCATTAAATAGAATATCTTTTTTTTAGGAACCTGAAAACCCCTTATGAATTTATTTAAATTATTTTCATCATTAAAATTAAAGTGCTTTGCATTGGTTTGATAAAAAAAAATCTCTTGACTTTCTTTCAAAATCCCGTGTAAATTCAATAATGTATAATAAAATTAATTTTAATGCCCCAAATACAAAATATACATTATTATTATTTTTTCTCCTTGCTGTTATTTGAAAAGGTTGATTTATTGTGCCTTTCAGCTAACTAAGTAAAGATTATACGACCGCAACAAAACAAAAACAAAAAATGAGAAAAAATAAACTCTTTTAAATTAAATTCTTGGAAAAAAATTTTTCAACTGATTTACAACTTTATTCTTTTAATGTTGTGAACATTTTATTCTTTATTTTGTATAATTGGTCTTTAAAAGTTCTTTTTATCTCCACTTTTTTACTACTTATTTAGATATTAAATTACTGAGAATCTCGTTATGTGAATAATTTTAAATATAAAATTTAAATTTAATTTAATTTCTGGTTACGCTTTTTGGAAAAAATGCTTTTAACTCAACATGAATTTAGTGAGAGTGAACGAAATAAAAATTTTCAACTGGTCCTTAGTATTTTTTAAAATAATTTTAAAAAGCCTTTTTTTTTCAAACACATTAAAAGTTTATTACAGCGAAATTGTTCAAAATTTAAGTTTAATGTTTAAGAAAGTAATGAAATTTATAAAACAGAGACATAAAATGAAATTTTATTAAATTTCTATCAAAAAAAAATGTATTTTATTTAAAGAATTTTTTATTTTAAAAATCAAAATAATATTGCATACTTTCAGGGCACGTTTACAATAAAAAATGTGCTTAGTTCTTGCTTAAGAAACGCAAATAATCGTTGATTATTTGTTAAACTTAAAAACGTTGTAGTATTAGAGAAAAAATTGGTAAACCCAAAAAAATTTGCTTTTAGTAAAAAAAGAAAATTAAATTAAATTTTAAAAAAAATCTATTTAGCTTTTTACATTTTTTCCATAACTTTCAAGCCAATGTAGAGTGTTTGCTTGTAACCACAGAAATTTAAAGAATTTTCCAGTAAAAAACAAATGTATGCCAACCATGTTATGTGCAATAATAAAAAATGTGTTATAATTTTTAGCCTCTAATAAAAAAGGGAATTACTGTTCTGATTAAAATGCGTAATTACGCTATTAAATTCTATAACAATTAAAAATTACAAAATATCAATTATTTTTGCTCTGCAGTCTAATTAACGACTTGTTTTCTGAAAAAAAAAATATTTTGAAAAGATTAAAAATATATTTCGGAAGATAAAAAAATTGTACATTATAACAGTCTTTTAAGGATATTTCACTTTTTATAGCATGTTTCCAGGAAAAAATTTGCTTACTTTTCTTTCTCGTACCACCCTTAAAGGTTGGATTCTTAAATCTTCAAAGCAGTAAACATTTCCCAAGTTATACAACAAGTATCTTAAAATAGGTAAAACATAATTTTTCGATTAACCTTATCATTTCGAAATCATAAGTTTTTCGAATTATGAATTAATTAGTCATCCAGTTGAACCTTTTCTAATTCTTTTTATTTTTGTGCTCATTCTAAACGTATGCAATAATTGTTGGATATTTTGGCATGTCATAAGAATAATTAAAATAAAAAATATGTCGTTTTTTTTAAGGATTTTTCTCATTTGTTCAAGTGAAATGTGCTACAGTACGAATCATCGGTTTAATCCGAATGTAATTGTAAAATTTTTTGAATAAAATATTTTCAAAACTTTTTATATTTCGATAAAATACTTGGTATATTAAATCAACATATTTTTCATTTTAAGAATTCAAAAAAGAAAATTTTATTTATCCACCTATTCAATAAAAACTTTTTAATGGAAAGAGACAATATATCAATATTAATTTACTTGAATTTAAGGACATAGATATATGAAAAACCAACAAGGATTTTACGAAAAACAAAAAATATTAAAATATAAAAGTTTACGATTTGGTTTAATAGAACATTTTTTAACAAGAAGCAAGATTACTTACATGTATTAAGAGCTTTGCTAGATTCACTTTAAAAAATTTCATTGCACTTATCTGAATTTTTAAATATTTATCAATATTTTGAGAAAGTATTCACTGTAATATGTCGAGGGAAATCACATTTTTTTATTAAACGAAGATTAAATAAAATTTAATATTAATCAGTTTATGTTGAAAATAAGACAGTTTGGCATTTTACAAATTTCAAATAATATGTATGAATTACCATTAATCCAGTAATTCATTGCATTTTCAAAGATCTTCAAAAAAGAGTGTGGGTAAAAATTTTTCGTAAAATGAAAAAAAAAATACATATTTTAAATTGATTTCATTCAATTCATCAATGCACGATGATGGGTTAAGGTACAGGATTATATCCACATTATCTCATTTTGTTTTCCTATGAAATATAAAGTGCATATAAGCTCCCATACAATATTCATCCAGACTCCAATTTAAAATTCAATGTGATTTGCGATGCTGAAATCCGGTTAATCAGGATTCAAAACAATAAGTTTTGGCATCTTATAAGCTTCTTGATTAGAACAACATCAGATTCATATTTGATTCTTTCCTTCGAAATATTTTAAAAAAATTATAGAATTCTACTATCACCGCTAAGCGTTTATTAAAAATTTAATTCAATTAATTTTAAAATTTAAACTCACCTTCTTTCGAATTTAATTTTTTTGGAAGGGTATTTCATTCATTACTATAATATTAATTAATATATAAGATCAATTCAATTAAATCATTATTAATTATGTTAATTAATTCGTTTTATTATTTATATTTTATAATTACAGTTCACATGATTACGAATACAAAACGTGTGCACAAAAGAATGAACTTTCATAATAATCAGATTTATAAAGATGTGCAAGTGTGCGTGTGTAATATTTGTTAAATACTGTTCAATCACACGAGTAATGTAAAGTTATTGAAGTGGAACAAGAACTGGAACAAGGTACTTTTAAATTATGTAATAAGAAGAAAAAATAATTAAAATTTTAAATTAAGAAATTAAAAACAAAATTCAAATTCAAAATAAATAAAAATAAACCTTTGGTACAAATAAAGACAAAATTATTTTTTGATTTAAAAAAAAACAAAAATGTTAAAAAGGTTTTAATAATTTTAAAATCAACGTCGTAATACTCGTAATATTGTAAGTGTATTTGTAAAAACATCAAAAGGTAAAAATAATCTGACAAAAATTGTTATTACAAGGTGATAAAGGTGATAATAAAAAACAAAATATTAAGAAGATATCTACATACATTTATTCATACATAACATATAATTTTATATGTATATGTATGTGTAAATAATTGTATTTGAATACAAAAGTATATAATAACAATTGTAACAATAATAACCATCACACAAAATATGCGTGTACATATAATGTGCAAATATAAATAATAATTAGAAATTTATGTATGTATGTTTCAGTATATTAATTTTATCTAATGAACGGTGTATAATAATTTTAATATAAATTGTTATACAAAAAATTAATAAACCATTATTTTTATAATATAAAATGTAAAAGAGGTCATGTAGAATTTCGAATTTTATGTTAGATGTTTTTAAATATTTTCTTCAAAATAAGTGTAAATTAAGAACACATATCTCAAGTGTTCGTAGTCCATGATTTGTTGAAAAGTAGTCTCAATCAGCGGTATAAACAATATTATAAATTGCAATTATTTGAATGCACAATTAGAGAATATGTAAATCTTGTAGTATTAAAGCAAAACTTATAATTTATTGTGGTTTTAAAATATTTCTTGACTTCGAATACGTAGTAATACGGTATTAATACATAATTCAGCAATTTGAACTTATAAGCTGAATTGTTTATTAATATAGTATTATGCGTTTCTATCGCTTCTATTTTGTTAATGATTTCTTTCTAGGGAAGAAATTAAAGTCATTGAACTGAAATTAATTAATTTATCACTTGGACAACATACATTTTCTTATTAACATCAAGAAGGAAAAAAATTTCTTTGAGTATTTTTAATCGTGCAGCTAAAATGATTTTTTATGATTGGATCAAAAATTTTTTTATGTCCAATACAAATGTATGTATTTCTAAGGCAAAGTTTACTTTCCTAAATCGATTTAAAAATACTAGTATATGAACACATTTTCTGTATTATTTTGTTACAGAAAAGCTTAAAGTTTAATGGTAATAAAAGCAAGTTTGTGACTCTGAATTTTGCCTTATGTCATTGTTCTTGCAAATGTGCGATATATGTATGTATATTCCATTATAGCTTAATATCATTATTTTATTTATAAATAAAAATTAATATTAATAAATTATAAATAAAGTAAAAAACACAAAAAAAAAGCAAAATTCTATTCTTTTAATTTCAATTCTAAATTAGACGGAGGTTTTGTTCATTTTTATTAATACTACACCGTATATTACCTACATAAATATACAAGTGTAAAATATATTTATAAATGCATATACATACATAAAAATAAGTAAGTATATTTTTATATTTTGTTATTAAAAAAAATTATGACAAAAATAAAAGACACAATGAGAGTATATATAAAAGTCTGTAGTGTCAATTATTTCTTCATAATAATCATTAATATTAATAAATATAGTTACATACATATTTGTATGTACATAATAACATACATATATGACATACATATATGGTACTTAAATAAATTCTTCATTTGTATATACTTATATGAAAGCCTAATCTTTTATGTAAAATTAGTTAAAAAACATAAAATAAACGACAATGAAAACATTACAAGTTTTCGTAGCTTAAGGTATTGGTGCAACAGTGGGAAAAGCAGTGATTTTCCTTCAATTAGTGAAAGATTGATGGAAATGAATATACTTTCCATTTTGCAGTTCGCCATCGGAAATTTTTGAAAAAATTAGTTTGAAAAGAGTTATTGAGAAACATTTATAAAAGAAATACTAGAAAATTATAATTATTGCTTTTACTATAATTCAAGCCAACAAGCTAAGAATGTTTTCGGGTGAATTTCGAAATAAAGAAATATGCAAAAACAATGCTTAATGTTTTATATTCCGAAGTATCCCGAAGTATTCCAGTTGGTATATTTTTTCTCTAAAATTCAGCACCCTTCCATTTGCCCTAATATTTTAATATTCTTTTTAATTCTATTTTTGCAGCGAATTTACAAATCGATTTCTTTTAAGCTTGAACCTCCAATATTCGAGTAATACGTAGAATTAGCATAGTTAAAAAATTAATATTATCACTTTGTTTTTGTAGAGTAAATTTTCACTTATTAAAGAAATTAGTTTTTACACATGAATTACATATCGTTATGGCAGGGCCAAGTTCTGTTCTGATCATACAACAATACATCGAAACACGGTATTTTGCGTCAACCTGTGGAAACCCATATTTACTTGTACGTATATTAAATCCGTTATTTATAATTTCATATTATTTTTTCTTGTTTTTTGTTTTCTTCTTTTGTTTTCTGTCGTTTTGTATGTCAAATTTGTGTTATTAAAGAATTTTCAAAATCGGAAAAAACAAAAGCACTTTTTTCTTTAAATATAAAGGTCGTCCTTATTATAATAAAAAATGCTATAAATGTTAACGGTATTAGATAGAATATTTTTAAATAAGCATTATAAGTAGGTATATAATGGTGTATTGTTATATGCATATATCTACACCCTCCAATATAACATGTTCACATAATACATACATAAATTTATGATTGTTAACCTTTTTTTTGTACTTTAGTTTTCTCCATTTTTTGTGCAAAAAAAAAAATATTAAGAGATAAAAATTTGATTTTATACTTTATAAATACAATAATTACATACGAATTCTTAATACTTATGTATATGTAAATATTTTTGTTGTTTTTAGTACACAAAAAAAACTTGTTTTAATAAAGGAAAAAAAAAATGATCATATGTAAATTGTTATACAAGTATAATAATAATCGAGTACAATACACATACATTCATACTACAAAATTACAGTTATAAAAAAAAATTAAATTGAAAAGTAAATGTGAATAAAGTAAATTAAACATTATATACACACAAAATATAGATACATAACATAAATATATTAAAAGAAATTATATACGCCTACATATATGCAAAAAGTAAGCGTTATATTTTAACGAAAAAAAAGGTGAAATTTTTATAATATAAATAATAAAAAAAAAAAACATAAAAGAATTTCCAAAAAAGGATATTGCAAATTAAAAATAAACAGAAAATTCAAACGAAAAATTAAAAAATAAAAAAAAAAAATAAGGATATTTTAATAGAAAAAAGGCGGTAAAGGAATAAATGCAGTGGTTTATAAGGTAAGAATTTTTTTTTTACATTCTGATTTCGAAAAAGAATTTTATAATTTATTTCTAATTTTAAAATTTTTTTTAATAAACGTGCTGTGTAAAAACATAATTATATTTTCAAATTAAAGATTTGTGTTTTTATGCTTTCTATGGCAGCCCGGGAGAAAAAAGCTTCAATTCACATTTTAATAATTCATAAACCCTTTTAATACTGAATCATTATTCCATTAAGATAAAATGAATCATTTGTTACGTAGAATAAAAAAATTCGTGAGCTTTGAGAATTCAATATTGAGAGCCCATTACCCTGCACGTGTAAATTTTTATTAAAATCGGTTGAGTCATAATTGTGTGTCATACACGATTGCCGGCATCATTCTAAGAATAGTGTATTTCAGCTTTTCTACCACGAAGAAGTGAATTCGCACGCATTCTCGCGCAAAACTCTGGGTGTCAAATATTCTTGTCAAAAATGTTCTGGTCAAAAACGAAATATTTTACAAGGAAAATTTTGTTTTGTACAGAAAATATTTGAACTCACTTTGTTACAATTTTCGTATTTCATTGAAAAGTACTAGGAGAAGTATATAAAAAATTAAGTTAATTAAATTATCTATTAGAATTATTTAAAATATAAAATATTCTTTGAATTATTCTACAATATTTTAGTGTTTCATTAATTAAAAGCAAAAATTCAAAAAATTCGCTAACTTAAAAAATTATTTTTCAGGTATAAAGTGTATAAAATAGAAAATTTCCTTAAGTTTATATATTATTCATTTTCCCATTCACATTAATCCTTTTTTTAAATAAATAAAACATTGCTCTATAGTTTAGTTAAAATACTCTTTTTGATAAATCGCTGAATATTTCGTAAAAGTTTCTATTAAATTTGATCATTTGATTCAATTTGAACTAAAGTTTTACCCCAAGAGTCTTCCTTAGCCCAATAAGAAATTTTGATAATAAATATAATATTGTGGTAATCTAGGTCTGTGGTAGCTAATTAAAGCATAAGTAATTAATTTTGAAATTTCAGTTGAAATTTACGATATTTTTGAGTATTAAAGTTACTGACAATGTGAAAAACTGAAAAATTTATCTTAATTTTTTTGCAATTTACATAATATTTTTAGCAAAGTTACACACATTCACGAAAATTTTATAAAATATACAGAAATATATTAAGTAATAAGAGAATATGCAATAGGAGAGTTTTTGAGGGGAACAGCCTAAAAATTTTCTTTTCCAATCTATTTAAAGTTGAACACAACAACCATTTTTCATATTATTCAGTTAATAAATTTTATGTTTTTTCGTCATGTTAGCTTTTCCCATTTCCTTTTTTTTTTTCTATAGTCCCTTCACATAATTTATATGTTGACAAAATTAGTATTAACATATTTATCATATAACATCAAGATCTTTTTTAATGAATTTAACGAATTCCTAATATTTTTTATTGAGATATTTTTTGGAACTGGCAGTAAGGATAATAAATAACGATAACATAAATAATGGTATGAATTAAAAAATTTCCTTTTTTGTTAGATGAAATGCTCGAGATTAAAGTTATGAAATTTTAAAGATTTTCAAAATTGTGTATGATTTTTGTTCTTAAACTTTGAAATTTGTTCTTGTTAAAGTTTTCTTAAGTCAATGAAATTCATGAAGAAAATTTTTTAAAATTAGTATCAAATTTGGGTAACAAAAATTGCAAAATGAAATAAAATTTATTAGACTATTAGCAGAGCAAAAGGTCAGTTCAAATATTTGTATAAGAGTCAAGAAACTCCTGTTGATTCTTATACAACATTTACTTCAACCCTTTCATTGGTATGCAAGCTAATTTTGTCTCTTATAGTTCTTAAATTTGGCAATGTATCAAATAACCTGGAATCCAGAGATTTATATAAATTTTGTATGCCTAAATATATTCGTTAAGAATTAATGGAAATAAAATTTAAAATACCTTGATTACATCTTACATCAATGACAAATTCAATAAAATTTTTAAAATTACATTTTTCATTTTACACATAAAATCCATTACTAATTCACTAGGATTTGTAAAACATATTAAAAAAATAGTTTTTTAGGGGTTTCGTTCTAAAACTATACTTAAAAAAGAATGAAATAAAATTAATGTTACAATTGCACATTCATCAACGTCTCTAATTTAATTGGAAAGAAAAACAAACGAATTTTACCAAACTTTTTCAATAGACTAGACTGTCAATTCAACAACACATCAGTCCTTACTTAATTAAAGAATAACAACAAGTTGAAAAAAATAAAAAAAAATTTATTGATAGGATTAAATTTTCTAGTCAATCAAAGACCATTTCCTTTTAATGAAAAAATATTTTTCACTTTTTTTTGTGTTTTTTTTTTGTGATTTTGGTTTTGATTCGTTGCAAAATAATCAAAGAATTTTTAATTAAATTTTACTTTTTTAATTTTTTTCATTTTTTTAATCATTGTTTAGTTATTATTTGTTTTTGTTGTCCTTATATTTATGGGATTTATGGGCATATGAAGTGAAGGATTGTGTAGGTAAAACAAAAATCCTTGTTGATTAAAATTAGAAACATAAAAAATCCTTGTAATACAGTAAAAATTTTCTGTGAAAAAATATTTTTCTTTTTTTATGAATATTTGAATTTGCTGAAAATTTTTCAATAATTAAGTAACTAGATATTTTTTTGTTTCAATATAAAAAGCGTAAGTTAAAAACGCCTATTTTGCAGTATTCCCTTTACTAGTGAGTAGTATAAAAGGATTTTTACCCTTTGTTCATTCCTGATGGGAACATAGGGCTTCCACAAACCTTTTGAATCAGACTTTCATTTCACCTATGCTCACTTTATTTCGGAGAAGAATTTATCATTTGATTCGGTGTACTTCGTCGATATATTGTGTAACGGGTCTGTACACATTTGTTTTCCCTGTATGTTCCAATCTAGCACTTGTCTGGATATAGCACTGCCAGGCTTGAGAAATATGTGTGTAAACCATTTTCATTTTCTTTCCTTTATCGTCATATTTATATAAATTTTTGATTCGTAATCGCAATTGGTTCTTGATTGATTATTACTTTGGTCTAGCTAGAATATTCCATACATTATTCTTAGGCGTATGGCTAAATTTTTAAAAAAATATTGAGAATGTGTAGGGGTTGCAATAGGTTAAATAGATTTTGATACCAAATTTTTAATTTTTGAATACCTTGTTATTCTTAAAATAAAAGTTGCTGAAATAAAATATTGTGTTCAAATTAAAAATTATCAGACTTTTCTCAAAATCGCATTTTCCATCTCACTATTAAAATATTGGTAGAAAACAAAGTTTTGTATTGTAAAAAAAAGCTTTGTCCACAAATTCGAAGAAGTATTATCGTTACTACTACAAAACACAAAAAAAAACAAATTTAGTTATAGAAACTTACGAAGCTTTTCCCTCCGAAAGATGATTGATGAGAGCGCGTTTTCTTGTGGTTTACTACTGCGATCTCATCAATATGTGACTACACGTATACATGCGATTTGTTGTAATATTGATTTGCATTTATGACTAAGTGCTTATAGGCTCATTATTCGGATTGAGCTTGAGTTTTTAGAAAGACCCTTTTTTTGGCAGCTACCTTAAAATTTTAAAATACTGTATGTGGAATTGTGAAAAACAGATTTTAAGTTTGTTAAAATCAATTTGATTTCTTGGTATAGAATTGAAGGTTAATACTCGTATATGCAAAAAGTTGTATTAACATATAAAACAAATTATACAATAAGAATAAAGTATTCGAACTTATTGAAAGTAAGTTATAGTTTTTTAAATTTTAATTTAATATTAACAAAAATATTAAATTTCTTTAAACTTAATAAAAATTTCATTTTGTAAAATGCTTAAAAAATATCAAAATAAACTGCATTGTAATTGCCATCCTTCAGGGGAAAAAAATTATTTTCTTGTGTTTCCACAATTTATTTCTTTATTATCAAGTGATAAAGCAAAAAACAAATTATGATGAACAAAAAAAAAAATTTATTTTTGATTACTTTTTCCCCATCTTGTTTCACTTATTTCAGTTATTGTTATATGATATATTAAAATGGTTTATTTGAAGGGTTTATACTGCAATATGATGCCAAATTTTTAATGATTATGAAAACATTAATTTCTACACTAGAACGAAATAATTGGCAAATGAAATTTGCTAAAAACCAAAAAGTGTCATCGGTAAATTAAAATTTCTGTAAATTCTTCGTCCCGCAATAATGAGCTGTACAGTTTCAATCTCATTGAGAGTAATTTAAGAAATCGTATTAAAGGTGAATTGAAAAAGCACTTGGGCTTAAAATTTATTTTACTTTCCAAAATATTTTTAATAATTTTTAATTTTCCATAAAAGAAATTTAAATAAGTAGAAGCATTTTTTCCTTATCTTGTTCCAATTTTAAACCAAAAACATTAAAAGGATTAGAAAACCAAATTTTGTAAATTAAAAAAAAAACTTTGTTTCAACTTTTCTGAAAAGTTTGCAATCTCAAATTTTTACCGACATTGTGTATACATTAGGTAGGTTATGTGATGGCAACAAATTTTGTATACCGAGTTTTCGGTGGGAATGCACTTCTCCATAGTAGGGAAGTGTAAATAAACAATTTTTAGCAACCTGTCGGTCTGTGTGTGCACGCGTGTATCTCAAGTTCGGCTGATGAAATTTAATATTTAAATCAACAGATTTTGATGAAATTTTGCGTGTAACTTTATTTCGAGTTTGGCACGGATTCATCAACTTTTGGGATATATCAGGCGTAGGGAACTGCACTTTTTAGCGGGCCTGTTTTACATTTTTGATCATTTTGAAGAAAATATTGAACCGATTTACTTAAAATTTCAAATATCAGCTTTGCTCGCCCGTCCGCGAAAACTCATTCCTAACTTTTGGAAGAAATCAGCCATCAGCAACTGGACGTTTACTCTATAAAAAGAAATATTCAACCGAT